CAAGTCCTGTCCTTTGATGTGTAGCTATCCTTTGATATGTAGCATGAGATGACCGGTTGGTCCTGTCTCAAGTCCTGTCCTTTGATGTGTAGCTGTAATTGTTGGAGCTGCTTAAGATATGTTAAGACAGCCGACACATTACACAATGTGCTTGAATTAAATTGTTGTGTTGAATACAGATAAATTATATATGTATATATTTTCCATCAATAATATATATATAAGTATGTTTTATGTTCTACTTCACCTTGCTTTGTTAGAGCTACAATAAGTGGATACAGTTTGGACTTGCAGCAGAAATCCTAAAGAATAACTCCTGTAAGCTTTTACGTTTTAGTGCCCACGGCAGTTTGAGCTCACTCAACTCCTTTTTCCAGTCCTTCGAATGATCTGGCATGGGTGTGTTCTCAGTCACCTACAGTAGAGAGACATCAGACAGGCAGGAGCCTGAGCAGCACTCCACTGATATGCACAGTCTGTGTCTTGAAAGTTAAAAGTCTATTCTTTGTGAGTTCAAAGAGCTATGCAGGATGCAAACTACAAAAATTTAAATACGGACATGTTAAACTATTGGAATGCAGGGATGTATATAGTTTTTTAAATCCCCCCATGTATTGTTAATATATTGTTTGTACTCAATTGCTTGTTGATATATAACACGTGTTTCTGTTTGCCTAAGCAGTGCTGACAGATTATGACTACAAGACTGCCCATTAAGCTTCTTCACACAGCCATATGACCTATAGTTGCTAAGCCACTTTGTCAGAAGGGGATTACAAGGGTCACTGTGTAATACCATATGCTTGCATTTTGATTAAATGCACAAGCAGAGTCATGCTATGGTACCTGACTTGTATACCTGAAAGCAAGTGTCTTCTTGTGATTTTCAGGCAGAACCGCCAGTTCCATTTGCAATAGAAGCTGAGCATTGTCAGCCCCATTTCCACATCACACAGAAAGCTAAGAAGTTGTCCACAGACCCCTTCCACCCTGCCAGCTCCCTTTTCAAACTTCTCCATTCGGGGAGGAGATTTCAAAGCATCAAATGTAGTCCTGCTCAGTTCTGAAATAGCACCTATCTAGAGACCATTAGGCACTTCAATATCTAGGATGTTGCACTGATTGAATAATATGTACTGTGTATGTGTAAGTGTAATATGTGTTGTGTTACCCCCATCTCTGTCTAGCTGCCAGCACCCAGCTATCTGCTTAGGCCTATCTGCCTTCAGCTGCACTGTGACAAAGGGAAACCTATAGGGAAGAGCATATAAAATGGAGAACAGGTGGCTTTTATTGGTTCTGGCTGGTGACTGACACTTTTTTTTGCACAAAGCCTTGTGGGAGGTTTGAAGAGGCTACCCAGCCACGTATTGATGCCCATACCCTGGCTTCTTTCAAGACGTGGCTGGGAGAGCTGTTTGGATCGATTAGGCTTAGCCCCTAGCAACCAAACGAGCAAGATGGTTTAGAAACCAGATGGGCCTCTTCTTATTTTGTAATGCTTGTGTTCTTAAAATGAGACGTCTGTGAGGAGGTTTTCTAGTTCCTCAACTCAATAACCTCGAGGTTTGCATGCTAATTTTGTTGTGTAGGTTGGTGCTCAAAATCCATCCACTTTGTCCAGTTTAGGCTCACTGTAAAGATAGAGCCTGTCCTGGCAAGCAGTAGGCACGAAGCAGGACGTTAGCGCTCAGATTCATTTTTATATATTTGTTTATTGTTATAGTTAGAGCTGATAAATACAAGCATTTAACAATAAGAGAATCACTCAAATTTAGGAATTGTTTTGTAGGCCAGTGGATGTAGTCAGAATATTTTTATTCTTGGCATGCGTTTGTTTCCATAACAACTTTCAAGTGAGCGCACAGCATGATATAATAGGCATTTTATGTAGACTGGAAGGTTTAGAAAGGCATTGAGATGGTATAAACACCAGTGCCAATATTGTACTGTGTGGAAGACTGTTGCATACTTAGGAACACGTTTTTCCAATAATTTGTATGAAGGGCTGTACCTCAAGAATAAAACGTTTTAAGACGAGAGAAGCTTACAGTAAGGGATTGAGAGACTGGCACTGCAGTGCAAGAAATAGTCCTGTGCTGTGAAGCAAAAACGAATTCACACGATTAACCCACAGCTGTTCCTGAGGGAAAGCAGCAGGGCACTAGATTTGTGAAGAAGTGTGTTTAGGAAGGGAAACACAATGCGAGTCCATTGATATAGTTCAGAAATGGTTACAGCAGAGAATCAATTTGCCAATTTCCCTGTTAACCTTGACTAAAGTAATGCAGAGTGGAACACACCAAAAAGCTATGTAGCTGCTCTTTCATAATCATGCTTATTTAGGGCTATTTTAAATGGCTATGGAGTGTTTCAAAGTACAATACTTATCAACAACTATATCTGCAGTACATCAAGGATTTTATTGAGGGCAAATAATTGTACTTAATAAACTACGACTGTTCTATTCTGTGTATAGTATAAATAAAGCTGTTTATACTATAAACACACAGTGAACTTTGCATTAGGAAAAGGAGTCATCTTGACCTCACTCAGCGGAGCGCAAGGACATGAATGGGATCGCATTCACACTTCCTGATGCTTCACAAAGTGTAGGTGAAGCCTGTACCACTTCCCTGGTTTCCTCTGAGGTCAGATTCCTCATATACAGTAGGAGTCGGAGCCATCACGAGGAATGCTGACACAGGATCAGCCATCAACAGAGACGGGGCCCGGTGAGAAAGCAAACGCACGTGTCAGCGGAAAGAGGCAGCACTTCCGCACGAGAAGGTGGTTATAAGCAAAAGACACAATCCCAGAGGATGCACTGCCTATCCTGCAGAAATAAAACCTCATTATACATTATACAGGTATTTGTGCAGTTTGTATCTTTGTGTAAAACTGCATGCGAAAACAAAATTGATCACTGCCAATTTGTTTGGTTCTGCAGTTTCTTTCCACCCGTGATTTCAGGCTGAGCAGTACCTAGAACCGCAGGGTGCAGCACTACTTTCCCTCCTCCTCTTGGATCTGCTGCTGAGTAATGGGCATGAGCCTGGTCATGCACCCAGAGGATGGCGTGAAGGGGGCATGGGCACTGTTGTGATCCTTTGTGACGGGTACTTTTTGCGGTGTTTAGATGAAGGTCGGGGTGACACGTCTCGCGTTGTAGCACCTCAGGTACAGATCTGCCAACAAAAGCGGGGCTCAAGTGTGCTTTTCATCACATGGTTATCTGTAAGCATGTCTTCTCCCGTCTCCTAAAATAGTGAAATCCATAGAGACAATCAGCTTTTGCTGCTGTTGGCTCTATCTGCGTTGAACATCATTTTGGACAGAAGTCAGTGAAGAGGAAATAACTGTCAGAATTGTTTCTCCTCTGTTGTTTTAGACTTTGCTTTGCTAATCATATAAATGTAATATCATTTTCCTAAATGATATGAGAAATCATTTCTTTATTGACACATTTTAATACAGCCGTCGATTAAACAACCTAAGATATTTCAACTAATCAAAGTTGGCATGCATAGTAAAAGCATAAAGATCTTTTCAGAGGTCAAATTTCAAGGAGAAACCAGTATTGAAATCCTATAACGTATCTTGAAATACTCTGCTTTATCTGCATGAAATATCTTGAAAAGCTCAGAAACTCAGAAAGCGGTTTCAGGCATTGAAAGTTAGACACTGAGACTGCATCTACATGTTCATAATTATCATAAAGCCCATATCCTGGTGAGAACTGTTGCTAAACAGAGCCCATCTTGGAAGCATTGGGCACAAGATGTGACCAAGAGCTCTTAAGTGCTCTGCCCCTGGACTGGTAACGTGTATTGTCGATCTGTTTTTCTTCAAATGAGTATTTGACTCTTTACAAAGAATGAATCAATGCAGTAGTTAAAGCTGTAAGAAATAGACTTCATGAAGCATTATCTCTTAGCATAGCCACTCTGAGAAAGGATGAAAAACATGGATGATGTTAAGCTGAAATTGCACTGGATAGTGTGATGCTTTTTGGAGGTTTTGCTTACAGTCTAATGATGACACCAGCTCAAGACTAGGCTATGTCTAGGTAACAGGTTGGAGCTCAGAAT